CCAACCTGAGTTAACTGTCCCTGGTCCTGCCAAGAATGGCTTTCTTCCTGCTTGTGAGGACTCTGCTGCACAGAGTTACTTGACAAAGATAGTTTTAGCAAAGTTGGTGTCTTTTGAACAAAGGGAAACACTTCCATGAGGGGCATGGTTTAGAGAGTGGGTCATGTCTCCACTCGGGGAGCAGAGAAGAATGGAATCTACAATGAAGATGTTTTGTGTTCACCACAGTAAAACTGATTTTACTTTCAAGCTACGTCATCAACAGCACGACCGTATGATCCAGCAGTTCCACTCCTGGGTATATATCCAGGAAAACAGAAACACAAAATGATTTGAAAAGATACCTGCAGCCCTGATGTTCATAGTGACATCATTTATAATAAATAAGATACAGAAGCAACACAAGTATCCATCAACAGACAAATGGATAAAGAAGATACGGTGCATATATACACACACGATGGAGTATCAGTCAGCCATAAAAAAGAGTGAAATGCTGAAATTTGCACCAACGTGGACGGATCTAGAGAATATTATGCTTAGTGAAATAAGTCAGAGAAAGACTGTATGTTACCACTTTTATATGTAGATATATGGAATCTAAAAAATAAACAAACGTATACAGCAAAACAGAAACAGACACACAGATATAGAGAACAAACTAGTATTTACCAGTGGGGAGAGGGAAGGGAGGACATGGCAAAATAGGGGTAGAGGATTAAGAACCACAAACTACTACGTATAAATTAGACAAGCAACAAAGGTATATTGCACAGCACAGGGAATTAGAGCCATTATTTTGGAATAAATTGTAATGGCCCGTAATCTGTAAGAATACTGAAACATCACGCTGTACACCTGAAACTACTATAATATTATAAATCATCTATACTTCAATTAAAAAAAAAACACCACCAAGAATCTAAACTCCAGCAGAGGTCAAGCTTCTCCTCGGTGGGCAAGGGCTGTACCCTCTTCCTGTCGGGAGATTTCTGCTAAGCGAAGACACAAAGGCCTGGAGAGGAAGGGACTGGCCACAGCTGGACAGACACCGCTGGGGAAGGGAAGTCCAGCTAAGGCTTCAACACCCCCCGGGCTGGCTGACGGATCGGAATGTGCCCGCCTCAGCCTGGAAGACAGTACCTGGCTCAGAAAGCAGAGCAAGACGTCTTGCCACACTTAGCACCCAAAGTCCCACCACAGGGAGAGGTTCACAAAAACACTCAGCAGGCCACGTCTCGTACAGCGAAAGTCTACCCAAAAGCGGCCACCCAGCCCCACCCCAGCACAGCAAATCCTCAGACATGAAGCGAGCATCCCAGAGCTCCATCTGCCCTTCCTAGGGAAAAAGTGTTCAACCCCAGTCACGAATAGTCACTCTGAAAACGTAACTTCTGACCCTTTAAACTGAGTCCGCAAAGCGTAATTTCAACTGCTCTTCGTGCCCCAGGTGTCTTTCACAGCAGTCTTCCTCACATTACAGGTAAAGTTCTGTCCGGAGCGGGGGGGTGGGCGGGGGAGCATAATATTTCATAAAGATATATTTTGTGGCTTCATCAATTTTCTCCTTTCAAATTTTAGAATGTGTTATGATACATGGTCGCTTATTAAATAAATATTGGAGGAAAGAAGGAAGGAAAAGGCGTGGGAGAGAGACAACACAATTTCCAGTTACCACATGGGAACAGAAAAGTTAACACCCTTCTCAATGAACCAGACAAGGACTTCACAAGCAAGACCTTAATCAACAGATATGTTTAGACAATAATCACAGAGAAGTCAAGGTCATGTGCTTGCAAGAATATTTTGCTAAACAATGTTTTAAAATTTACGATTGTATTTCATTAATTATCCTGAAGTGCATTTGAAACTGGAATCTTTCATCAACATTCTTTTATCCACAACTTAAAAAAATTAAATTTGACCTGATTTTTTTTCAATATTGAAATCTAACTGACACGTGAGATTACATGCACTTCAGGTGCACAACAGAATGATGTGATGTGTGTATATATGATAAAAGGATCGCCACAGTAAGTATAGGTAATCTCCATCACCACAAATTTCACTCGATTTCTCTAAATTTAAGAATCTGCTTCCCTGCCAAGATTTTCCAAAGAAAAACCCTGTCATTTTCTCCCATGATTAACAGGAACACGGCTTCAACCCAGTGTGTTAACTTGTGAACTTCTGGACAACTGCGTGAACAGTTGCTTCACCTTTTAATTAAACTAGGCGCTTCAGAAGCTCTGGATGCTTGGGGAATGACCCTTTAATCCTCCGCCCCGTCTCCTCTCCTACGGGGAGATGATTAAGGGCACTGCTCAACTTCTGCCAGCAGGATTTCTTAGATCTCCTAATCACCCTATGGGCTGGAATAGGCTTCCTTCTATTATCTATCAGATGCTGAAAGCTTAACTGATGTCTGGCTTTTTGCAAGGATTTTCTGCTTTCTTTGATTATGCAAAATTTTGCTGTATATGGGATCTCAGCCTAGTCTTCCCCCCCACCACCCCCCGGTTGTTGAAGAAAAGCTATTTCAGCTGACTTCAGAGTAACAGGTGCTCCAATCGTAAGTGGCAATTCTCCCTAAGACTTTGTAGAAAAGATAAGACTGGAAGATTTTTATAAAGACAGATGTGTAGATACATGGGTAACATGAACTGTAATATACATTATCTACTGATATACATTACTCATCATATACACTATTATATATCATATTTGCAGTCTACATAATCTATAAAGACACAATTAGTTGTGATACATATTATACCAACATTCATTAGTTATTATGTATATTATTATATATACTGTATACACATGACATATATATATATATATATATATATATATATATATATATATATAAATTTTAACTACAAGGCAACCTTTAAGTGAAGCAAGTACTGACATTTACATTCAAGAATGATTTATTTCCTAAGGATTGGGTAAGCCATGGGGAGTCTAAAAGTTGTTTTTAAGACATGGACCTCGGGGGCAGAAAATGCCAACAAGACACCGTAAGAAATGTGCACGGTGTCACTGGATTCTCTAAACATCTATTTTTTTAATAGCTATATGCTTCCAAAGCCCATAGTTAATGTATTTCTGTAACTATGTGGATGTGGGTGAAGGGGAGTGTGGCTGTGTTTACACACATAGATATGTATATCATTAAAAATAACATTAGTTTAGGTGTAAAAAATTATTTGAAAGATGACATTTTGACTGTAAGTAGAGAATACCACAGGAAGGATTTTAGAAAGGATGAAGTCAGCCAGCGTTCTCTTCCTAATATTTCAAATTCATGTACAAAAGTATGTATCTCACGTAATTTCATCAGAAAGCTCCCGGGAATAGACTTCTCTATATGGCCGAGTATATTAACAAACGCTGTATGTTGACTTTTCCCCCTAATTAGACCCAAGATAAAAATCAAAACGATTAACTTACTTTTGGTCCTTGGCCAAGACAAGAAGATAGAAGTGGCACTGAATCTTAGGAAATAAAATTAAGAGAACAATGAGGTGATTGCTGAGCAGCTTAATTCAACACCTCGTTATGAAACAGAGTCTCACATTTGGAGAACAGGTTGGAAAAGAAATCCAGTGTGAGGCTCCAGACCAGCGAAGGTGAGATTAATGCAGAGCAGCATCAGTGGTTGGCCAACTCAGTGAATGACTTTGTAAAAAATGTTCTTAGACTAAAACATAAAATATTCTGTATGGGGGAAAAAAAAAACCCTGTGGTTCTTAACTGCATTTTTATTTTAAAGATATCAAAGAAGTTTCTATTTGATTCTGTAATCAAAGCAAAATAATTAATATGAGCAGAGACCAGAGAACAGATCAATGGAGAGAAACTGACGGGTAATCCAAAGCAATCTCCTTTAGAAGCTAAGTACTCACTTAGAGCTGGCTTTCAAGACTACTGTTTTGACTGAATTTGAGAAATAACCCGTTAAGTCGGGTGTGGACCCTGGGCGACAACTGAAGGGAAATTTACTTAGCTTCAACAAAAATCATAATACTGTTAGGTTCTCAAAGGAATTATTTGAAAGGAAGCTAAAGTCGAAATGAAGATGAAAAAAAGTCCAAGAAGGAAGTCTTCAGTGTTTTTAACTCATTCCTGTATCCCTCACACCTAGCACGGTGTCTGACACACACAACATGAATGGACAAATTCAAAATGACCCACAGACATTTCCACAGCTAGGTAATACTACAATGACGTCACAGAAAGCATAATGATGAAATCAAACCATCTCCATCTCCCAAGACTTATGCGATGAGACTTTATAAAGTCAAGGTATATGGCATTTTCTGAGTGAACAGGCTAGTCCTCCTGTCTACATAATTGCTAATTAAAAAAAAAATTGATTTGACGGGGGACAGAGGTAGGCCAGGTGGAAACGATCGACCGCCTTTTACATTTCAGTCAAAGAAGAAAGAGAAACGGCTTAAATCAGGAGGGAACACTCTCTTCCTTCACAAACATCTGTGAAGCTGACCGCCCTCCACTGTCATAAAGTCCTTGGTGCAGAGACGCTGGTCCCTGTTGCCAATGGATGCTGTTTCCTGTTGGGCCTGGAACGCAACCTCCCATGCAGTTGAGGCAACCACCTCCCTGAGCTGAACTCTGCTTTCGGACATGTCTGACAAAATCCAAGCCCAGCTGCTGGAACAGCAGCTTTACTTTTCTGGGTCCCAGCGGGCAGGCAGTCATACCGCTGGGATTGTCCACCTTTGCCGGCCACCAGTGAGGAGGAGTGACAGAGGACTAGGTTTGGGAACACGGGCAACCCTGTTAGAGATTTCTCATCACGTGGCCTCCTGCAAGACTCGTAAACCTTGGCACTGCCTACTATCACCCGGGCCCTGTCCAGGCAGCTTCTGTAAGGCAGCAATTATGGTAATAAGCCTCGAATGCATTTCCAGTAGCATCGAGGACCAAATGCTTCTGAAAGAAAGCACGCAGCGTAGTGAAATGGGACTTACCACCACGGCAGCTGAGAATACTCATATCCTGTGGGGCTGCTCCCGTGCGATGCACAAACGGTAATTGCACTCTCCTGCGGGGACTTCTGCTGGTCTCACGCTTCCTCTTCAGACAAGTCCCGTCTACCTGAGCAGCCGGTGGGTTTTCCAGCCTCGCCGCGACCAGTTCTGTAAGACACCAACTCTCACTCAGCTTCCGTGTGCTTCATCTGCCCCGTGAAGCATCCGTCCACAAGGTCGGCCTCAGGCGCTGCCCTCCAGGGAACCCAGGCCCTTTCTTGGACTGAAAAGCCGACGTCCTCCGAAGGAGACGGTGCAGGATTTGGACTGCCCACCTCTGTGAAGGAGGAGGGACTCTGGCCGGTGGGAAGACAGGGTGCTGTTTACACTGCCCAGGCAGCGGCTTCACAATGACAAACACTCTTGTAACCGAGCAGGACCCTGGTGTGGGTGGGGGGCCTTCCTGGGACAGACCTCCCCTCCCCCATGTCTTCTGCTGTAGCTCCGCTCGGAAATATCCACATAATGCTATCTCACGCGTATTTCCTGAGTTTTTCAGATGCTAAAAATCACCACGAAGGGAAGAAATTAACTACAACCAGAGCGAGGCCCCCAGACCTTCTGTAGCCTGGGGGTTGACAGTGTTGACCGCCTCACTGCCTCAACACCAGCTAATCAGAGGATTGTGCGGGAGCTGACCACCTACCCTGCGCCCCCCCACCCCGTCCCTTACCTGGCCTTTAAATATACTTTGCCGAAACCCTTCAGGAAGTTCATGGCTTTCTTGAGCCTGAACCACCCCGTCCTCCGTGCTCGGCCCTGAAATAAAGCCTTCTCTGCTGCAAACTCCGACATTCTGGTCTGCCTGGCCTCACTGTGCGTCCTGCACGAACTTGCCTTTGGTAACACTCATCTGCAGAGAAGTGCTATCAGTTGCGGGGTTGGGGGAAGATGAGGCTTTGGGAGATCACGTGGCTTCTGCCCTTAATTGGAACAGAGACCAGCGATAATTGGCAGATTGCTTGGTGGAGCAGCTGCGTTCAACCACGTCAGAAGCCTTGCAGAAAGAGCACGAGAAGCTCAGGGTGGCTAATTCTCCATTCAGTCTGCGGTGAAAGCCAGGAGAGCTCCAGGAAAGCTGGAAGGAAGACGCTTCTGCAGCCGCAGGACAGGTTATGTTGGAAATCAGGACCCGGGCGGGCAATCAGGAGGCAGGACTGCAGAGATGACTGGAAGATGATGGGGCTGCTCTGTGAGAGCGGGGCCCCATGGGGCAGGAAGAGCAGCACCCGAATCAACCAGCCTGAGGCTCTTGACATGCACGCATCCTGTCAGGTGGCCCCAATTCTTCCCATGCAGTGGTCTCACCTGGAAGGGGTACCTTCTCAAAACACAGCTTATGTTCCTCAGTTCATACCACCTTCTTTCCTAGTGTTCCTTAGACCTGTGGTCTTCCAGCGCGAGCACACCTAGAGTCACGTGGAAGGTGAGCGAAGGCACAGATTCCTGAGCCCTCCGCTCAAAGCTTCTGATGCAGCCGGGGCCGGGGCGGGTCCAGAGAGTCTGTGCTCCTCAGTCTTTCCCCGGTGATGCTGGCCACACTGGGAGAACCCGCCGCTTCAGTCCTAGATCCAGGTCCCATCACAGTGCGAGCCCTTCTCTGTGGAAACAGACAGCCTGCATCCCAGAGGGGCTGCTCACCCAGACAGCTACCGGGGCGTGCGTGGAGATGGATCTTAGGACTGGGATCAGAGGAGCCGAGTAGAAGATGATCCTGGATCCCAGTTAAGAGGATTCACTGGCATGGCGGCATTGACCCCTGCTCTGGGAGGATTCAAAAGAGCCCCCTTCACGAAAGCAGTAAGGAACACACAGGTGCGGGGCCGTCAGAATATCTGAGGAGTGACTCGGAGGCTGTTACCCACGGGCCAGGGTTGAGAGTGGATGCTGGAGCCACGCAGCTGAATGCCCTAGTATCGATGGCACTGGTTGGCTCTTGGAACGGCACGGGAAGGGAGCCGGCACGTGGGTGTCAGAAGCAAGGTGAAGCTAGTTACCATAATTGGCATCAACGCAGAGTAGCAGGCACCATGTCTGATGCCTGGGGAATCTGTGGCCCACACAGCTCTGTGAGGCGAGCGGTGGCTCTCGATTTCTTTAATAAAAAGAAACTAGAACTGTCAAGGAGAAAGCTGCCATCAACTGCCTCCGTACAGTAATCACAGTCTCTTACTCAGTCTCCATCCTGAGACTGGCAGCTCACAGACCCACTGACTGGAGGCAATACCCTGTTAATATGACACAAAAATGCACAGTCCACGTTTCTGTTTGTTTTCCTAACCAGTGTCCACAGACAACAGCTCGAGCACTGCAGAGAACGGAACATCCAGAAAGCTTTAGGATGGCAACGTGAGGACTTTTGACCCAGTTGCTCCTCATAGTGCCTCCAATGCTCCCACAGGCCTTCCCAAGTTATCTTCCCCAATTCCCAGGTGTATAACTGGGCTGTAACTGCGTATAGTTGGCCCCTCCCTCACGTGGGTTCTCTGATTTGAACCGTAAAGGTTGTCATAATAGGAAAAGCCAAGTGGAATCCCCTAAATTGGCCAAGACAGTAGATCTGTAACATTAATACACTCAGGAGAAATTGCAAAGGTCAGTCCATGATTAAAAAACTCGAAGGACGCTGGAGCAGTGGGTGCCATGTTATCCTTGTTCAAATCACATGTCTAGTCTACACAAAAACCAAGTGCGTCATGGAAACTAACCAGGAACCACCATGAACTTACCACAGTAGCCCCAGGGGGAGCCACTACTCTAGAGATGGTCTATTGAATGGGGCAGGTCAAGGTGATGTCGGGTGTTAACACTTTTTCAGAAGTCGTCCATCATCTGGGATGATCAAACCATTTTCACCTTCCCATGCTGACTCCGCAGCTCTCTGTCCTCTGGAAACACACCTTGGCACTCTCCACCGCATCACACTGGTCCACTGTACTTATGAGACCACATCTTTATGACATCACGTCTCCAGTATGTAGGACATCACATTATCAGCAGGAGGTGACATGTTTCCTTTATGCCCCAGTGAGACACAGGCATGCCAGAACATGGGAGATTAACTCAACAAAGACTTCACAGACTGCCCCAATGGTGAGGTTTTAGCGGCCCACTGGTCTCCAGCATGCCAGGATGACTCTTACAAGGTAAAGGACAGTTTGTTCTATGTGAACATCCTACACAGAGCTTGGTGGCAGAGGACAGAAAGAGTGCATTCAAAGCTGATCCAAAGTTTTGGTGCATTTCGCTGGAGAATGATTCCATTTACTGAGGTAAGAAACAGAGTGGGGAGCAGGTTGGGGGAAAATCACAATAATTGTTCATTTGAGACATGAAATTGAAGGTTCGTGTTGAGGACACACTTGAATATTTACGTAAGTCTGCATTAGGAGGAGTTGTCAAAATTTACCCAGTGTTTAGAATCACGAAACTGGATAAAGTCACCTAGAAACAGTGGTCCGAAGACTGAGCACCCCAAAATGCAAGGGGACAGAAGACACACGGCCCAGGAGAGCTCTCAGAGGCGGGCAGACTGACTCCTGGCCCGCATTCAAATACAGGGGGCGCACAAGAAGTGGAATTTACATTAAGAAGCTACAATCCTAACTGCTCTTTGCTGACCAAACTCCCCAGATACAACAGAATCACACGTTTCAGCAGACACAGGATTTCTCAACAAGGAGCTTTGCACGGAACCATCTAGCCAGGTTTCCATCCACCAATGGAATGAGGATTTTCTTAAAACCTCCAAATCGTATACTTGGAGAAAAACTTCAACAGCCCATCATCCACTCGAATGTAACACCTCATTTTCACGAGCCCTGTCATCCTTCGAGGAGATTCTAACAATGACTTATTTAAGACTTGATGACACTGAAGGAAATTTGAGAGTGCTTCCAGCTTCTCAGTGGTCGAATACACGCATTCAATTATAGGTGCTAAATCTTTCATCTTTGTAAAATGATTCTTCATTGTCAGTGATCAGAAAATATGCAAATCCATAATGAAAACAGCAAAACTCTCTCCTAAACCCACTTCTCAGATTTAAGCCTTGAAAACTTAGAGCGTTTCAATTCTCACCAAAATTTATGTTGTTGATTTGCTCCAACAAAAGAGGCTGTAGTGCCTCCTTTAATAACATAACTCCCCTCTTTGGAGACAGGCAGGAACCAGGAAGGCAGTTTCAAGCAACGCAGCCACGTCTAGCCACTACAGAGTGTGAACGTTTGAGCAAACAGTTCGAGATAGAAAGTCTACAGCTATTTTACATGAGTGGAATTTAAATGTGTAAATAGACACTTTTCTAAAAAGTCTTACAGTTAATCAACATGATTTAATACAACCCAGCTCAGTGAATTCTGACTTGACATGTCCAACTTCAGGCCATTTACCTGGAATCCAGGGTGCAAGAATGAGTAACATGGTTCTTCTATTCAAGGATCTGAACGTGGAATAGGAAAGTTAACAGGTAAGCCTTACCTGCATGCACAGATCTGAAAGGGACACACAAAGTACAGAGGGAGGGGAGAATGACCTGCAGAGGGGGTCCGGGAGGAAGGGCTTCACGGTCATGATACTAAGTAGGACTTCGAAAGGAGTCACTATCTGGCACTGATGCAAACAGGCGGCGGGTAAAACATGAGAGAACGGACAGTCTGCACAAAGACCCACCCAGAGGAGAGTTTTGTGGTTGCCCTTAGCTCAGCTTAGAGTTTTCACTGTCCGTTTAACCAGCAATTTCAGGAGTTCAGGATCAAGTGACATAGAAAGAAACCCCAGTCTCCCAAAGAGTCCACAGTGAAACCCACCTCCCTTCTGAAGAAAAACCCAGTGTGCGATTTTTCCAAGTGTGTGAATTTTCTGTCTTGGTTTGTGGTCATTATAACTCCAAACAGAGCACAACTGGGGTTTCCGTTTTTATTAAAAAAATAAACAAAGCCAGCGATGAGACATCACCTCTGCCGACTTTTTAATTATATTTTGATGGCTTTTCAAGAATAACACCTTTCTGCAAACATACATCATACGCAAACAAAATTAAACCCACACCTGAGGGCCTACCAAATCACAAACAGCTTTAATGGAATGACACAAAATTAATTTGAGAAATGTTGATTTTTGAAAACATTTTTACTCCCTCCACTATTAAATGTGTCCTCTAGATCGCAAAACCCAAGACTTTTTTTTTTTAACTATTGCTCCTTTCTGAAACTGCTAACCAGGCCCCAGTATTTGTTCAGGCTTCTAGGAGTCTGGAGAACCCTTTTCCTGCCCTTTAAGTTTGGGCATCTGAGTCTTCCCGGGTGCCTGTCTGCTGTCCCCTTGCAGACAGGCTTGTGTCAGTAACACCTCTCCTTATGCAGGATGATTTCCAAGGAGGGTGAGCGCCAGGACTTACAAAGGGGTTTAACAGACCCTGAGGGCTACGGATCCGCAGTCTGAAAAGGCTTCTCAAATCTGTGTTCAAAAGAAAACATGGTTGATGCTACTGAAGTCTTCTCCCCGATCCTCCTTGCACTTAGATAGGCTGCGGCCCTTTACTGGAGTGCTTGCACCTGGACAGACATCTGGTGCAACAGAATGCAAAGAAACTGCAAGGGACTAGAAAGAACTAGTGCACACACAGCTGGGGCAAACTATGAACAGTAAGATACAAAAGGGCAAAAAACCCAGCTGCCACTTCTGAGGTGCCGGGAGCAGAAGCAGGCAGCACGTAGGATGCCTGCACACACACCACCAAGGGGGCTGGCAGACCACCTATG